TATTGGTTCTTTCTAGGTTGTCACATTAGGTTAGGTGCTGGTTATCATATTCCAGTCCAACATCCAGAGCCAGGACACCATGAAGAAAGAAGCTTTTTGCATGAAAGTGCTAAGGTTTGATTCTAGGTCGTCACCATAGATTAAGCAATCAACACAATAGGTAGTCATCACAATAGGTAGTCATATAAATAGAGTCATCTCGGATTAAGCAATCATCACAATAGGTAGTCATATAAATAGAGTCATCTCAATGGATTAAGCAATCGTCACAATAGGTAGTCACCACAATAGGTAGTCATATAAATAGAGTCATCTCAATGGATTAAGCAATCGTCACAATAGGTAGTCACCACAATAGGTAGTCATATAAATAGAGTCATCTCAATGGATTAAGCAATCGTCACAATAGGTAGTCACCACAATAGGTAGTCATATAAATAGTGTCATCTCAATGGATTAAGCAATCGTCACATTAGGTAGTCATATAAATAGAGTCATCTCAATGGATTAAGCAATCGTCACAATAGGTAGTCAAATCAATAAATAAGGTAGTCATCAATTTCGAATTTAATTTAATTTATACTTTTTTATTTTAATTTTAGGCAAATTTTCTATATTTTCTTCTTTTTTTTTTTTACAAAAACGTAACGGGGCGCCATGAAAGAAACAAGAAATAATTAAGTTGTGTTTTGTTTTAAATAAATTTTATTTCTAATTTAAAAAATAAAATAATAATAATCATAATATGTATATCATCGACTGGTATATAAACTGGTATATGTAACAAAACATTTAAATTAATACTCAATAAATTATTTTACAAATTTGAATAAACAACACAATATGTAACAAAACATTTAAATTAATACTCAATTAATTATTTTACAAATTTGAATAAACAACACTATTAACAATATTTAATATATATAAATAATTTATAAGGTAAAATTGTCAGTACAAGTATTCAGTGCTTCTGTGGGCAAGGCTCTGGCCTTTGCTAAAAGTCTGTACATTTCTGTATTTGAAAACTGTGATGGTACCATTGAATTTTTTATGATGATAGACAAGTATAATATTAATAGATTATTTTTTATTTAAATTCCTCTAGAATGTTTGATTATTTGAATTTACGTCACATCTATGGTAAAGGCAATAAAGCCCCTTTATTTCAAAAATCAATTCAAGATTATAATATATTTTTTGAAAAGTGTATTAAAACTTTATTAGCCTTAAAATTTGAAAAGGGAAACTATGTCTATAAATCGAATCGTAAAACATGCATTGAGGGTTTAATTCTCTCTATGAAAAGTGTGCTAGCTATGGGGAATAAATTATTGACAGGCCCTAACCCAAAAATGAAGTTTAAATTTCATTTACAAAACATATATTTTTAAACCTTATTTTTTTTTTATATTAAAACCTTTTTTATTCCTATTTTTGTAGATATTTATTAACGTATAAGTTATCACAAGACCATCTAGAACTTTTCTTCTCATGTTTACATAGTAGAGGTGGCTTCAATAATAATCCATCTGCATTCCAGCTGTGGTGTGCTGTTAGAGGTGTTCTATATGCCAGATTGGGAGCTTGATTGACTGGAAATTGCATCCCCTTAGATGACACCAATCTAATCTGTGGAGATTTCCAAAAAGACCCAATCATTTTCACACCTTTATTGGACAACTCTTATGATATACCTAATATTCCACGACTATCTCCCTACGTTGATAATGTATCTACCTATGTCCTGACACATTATCCGTAAACTTGTTGAAGAAAAAAAAGTGAGATGTGATATCTGTTTGCATTCACTAATAGATAATTCTTCAAACAACTATAATTACACTTTAATAAAAATTAAAAATTATGGTGGATTGGTAATACCATCCCAAAGCGTATCAAATTTATGCAAAATAACTGAGAGCTCATCAGGGCTTTTGAAAAAGTATATGAAATAACTAAAAAAAAATGTCGTTAAAAAATAGAATGTCTAATATTATCAAAAATATTAGGCACAAATATTTTCAATGACCTGCAAGAACATATGTATGATCAAGAGGCAGGATTAAGTCATTATCATTATAATAAGACTTATTATAAAAAGGTATATATAATCATTACTTGATTTTAATAAAATTTATTTCAGATACCTACATATACGTATGCTTCATTATGGCAATAAAATTAATCAAAAATTGAAACTAAATATTAGACAAAAACTTAACAAAGCAAGCAGTACTTTTTCAAGGGCAATAAATCAGGTAATATAAAAATATGTTATTTATAAATATTTATAGGTGAAGGAAAAATTATTGTGAAAATTTGTATGAAAATATGAACTTTATACTTTACTTTATTTAGTTATAATTAAACAATTTATTAGATATAAATATAACATATATATATATATACATATTGTATTAATTATTGTAAAGATTATTTTTCCCGCGATATACATATTCATTATAATAATACAATTATTTTATGAGATGTAAATATAATATATATATTATTTGTATTTATTATTGTGAAAATTTATAAGATTATTATATTTTTCATTGATTTTTGTACTTAAGTGAATTAAATTTAAATAAATATATTTAGAAATGGATAGTTATAATTATTAAGGAATAACATAATTCAAAGCAAAAATATATAAAAAGACAAATTATAAAATATAACATCTTTTTATTTGCTAAAAAAATAAATACAAAAGAAATTATATCAAATTTTTTTTTTATATAATTCAAAATATTTATCAATAAAATCATATATATTCAATTTTGTTTTTGAAGTAATTTCTAAAATTCCAAATCACATGTTAAATATTTTCATAGCAAATCTGACATAATAATTTTTACAAGAAGTTTTTAATATAAGCTGCATCTTTAGATTTAATTCTGAATATTTAATTTGAGATATCATACTTATGAAAGGAAATTTTGCTTCCAATATATTATCATTTTCTTAAAATATAAAAAATATATTAAAATTTATAATAAATTTCAAATCATAATATATCTTTCCTCACTTTGATTTTTGTTATTGAATATATAAATATAAAATTTATTCTTATAAAAAATATTCATTCTAACTTGATAAGTTTGAAAAACTTAAAGATATTCATGAGGTATTAAAGAAAACAAATCCTCACTTCTTTAGAAATGACAAAATTTTAAACTATATTCTTATTACTCTACAGATTTGATTTTATATTGATTAGTCTATATAAAATATTAAAGATATTCATTAAGTAATAAACTGCAAATGTTTATAAAATGTTTTTTATTCATCTAGTAAAAAAATATGATTATAATATATAATAAAAATAAACCTGAAATTTATGTAATTATCATATGTTTCTTACGTTATAGATCCAAACACAAAATGGCTGCTACTCAATTCAATTTTTGCCACTTCAAATTTGATTTTAGCATTACGATCGGCAGTCTATAGTATTAATGTCATTGGATTTGGATTGGTCGTTTATATTCTCTTCTCCAAGAATTGTTGATTAGGTTAGGCCTATAAATTTTTCCTTATTAGTCCACTATAAAACATTGTCTAAAAATGGTAACAGAGGGTTATATTAGTTTCTTGACTTTTTGTCAATGTAAGTTGCTAATTTTATAATATGTAGTTTTTAAAAACTTATCAATTGAGACATATGTATGAATTAATTAACCTTTTTTATCACTTGTAATTCTTTAGATGGGAAATTTTTTTATATCAGCAATCGAAAATATTTTATACTGTAATAAATAGATTTTGTATTAAAAATAATATTTTTAAAAATGTCTTATATTGTTTTAATTATTTATATCCTAGTTTATTTTGTATTCAAAATATAATATTCAGAATATTTATTCAGAGTTAGCAAATTTTAAAAATGTATAATATATTAATATAAAACCCGGCCAAAGACCCTCAAAGTTTTTAGTTGAGCCCTTTGAGATTGTAAAGGCTAGCGACGCCTCTGTGTAGGCGTACCTGTTGGACGTGAAGCTGCAGCACACTTAATAAGAATTTAAGTCGTAAATAACCCTACCACAAAGCTTTAGTTAAAATCGACTTTTCCAATGCATATAACACCTTTCCCGCAACTACTGCATTCCACTTGCTCCCATTTTTCCGCTTACACCAAATTTCATTTCTCTTGCTACATATTTCCAATAATCTTCCAATTCAATACCGATGAAATATTTTCACCCGAAGGCATTCAACAGAGAGACCCTCTCGGACCCTTCTTTTTAGTCTTGGAATTAATGACATGATAAAATCAATAAACTTTTCAACAATCTATCGCTTCATGCGTGATATATCGATGACCGAATATTGAGTGGTTCCTGCTGTGAATTGACAAAGCAGTTAACATAATTAACAAAATGGGCACAGCTATTGGACTCCAACCCGAGTAAATCAGAATTCATCTATAAATTTTAGCGCTCCTAACGCTCATGATTTCAAATTAATTGCACTTGTTGAATTATCACATCTAGGATTACCTATAGGAAAACATGAGGCCATTTGCACCTTTCTTCACTCCACTATTCACATTATTCTTAAACTGGGGGACATCTTTACTCTTCTTCCTTCACACAAAATCCTTTTTCTTGTTAATAAATTTCTTTTTTATTCCACGGATTCTTTATGCCCTCCGCTCAACACCGATTTTTAAATATCTTTTTCCACTCAAAACATACTAAAATGGAATAAAGGATAAACCTCAGATTCAACCAAACCGCTGGGCCCAAGCTTCGCTCCTAACCAAATTCGGTGGACTTGACATTAGATCTCCCTACGACTTAGCAATAACCGCTTTCATATAGAGTAGCCTCTTGTCAAAACAAATAGCAATGCCCATCATTCTAAAGAAGACTCTTCCATAATTAAGGCCATAAATATTTAAAAGACATGGATCAGTTGACTCTCTTTCACCAACACAGAAGGATTGGGAAGCTCCGGTAGTTGCTCGCTGCTTTGGAACACTATTATCTAGCATGCAATCCACTGACCGCACTCTATTCTTTTCCCTGTTCAATGGTACTGGGCATGATTTTCTCGAGGCCATTCCTTCTGTTAATTTTCAGCTTCAACTTTCCAACAACGAACTTATTCACTCCATAGGTATTCGTCTAAACTGCACTATCACCCACCCTCACATCTGTTCAGTGTAACTCGCCCGTTGACATGAAAGAAAGACAGTTTACAATATTGTCGCTCCAGCAATGCTCGATTCATCAGATATACACAATGTAATTCAATTATTCAACATGCCTTGAAATCAGCTCAAATACCATCCATACTGGAACCCCAGGGTCTTTTTAGATCAGATGGTAAACATCCTGACGGGTCAAATTCCATCGAGGAGAGACCAATTATTTGTATGGAACTATTTATGTATATACCCCCTGGCCCTCTAACTAAGCCTTAAACATCATTGACCAGAAGGAACAACTTAATATCACCATATACACAGAAATTTCAAATGACCATTTTTCATTCCTATCGTTTCAACCACACTTGCCACCTTTAGAAAACTTGCCCTAGCATTTCAAAAATTTAGGATCACAAATAGCAAACTTTCAGAAGAACCTCGTGAGTATTTTTTCTTCGACAAAGGTTGGGCATAGCCACTTAAAGCAAATTACATCAGCTTCAATGGTAGTTACTAGCCAAAGAGTTTTACTTAATATAATATATATTAGGTTTTTTTTTATAGATTTTTCATATAAATTATAAATGATTCAAAAGTTAACCACGAAATTATCTGTATTAATCATTATTGTACTAGATTTACTTTTCAGAATAAAAACAAATAATATGGAAAATGATAAATTATATGAAATATTAATATAAAATAAGATAGCAATGTAGTTGCTATAGTTTGTCTAATAATTACCACATAATACAAGTATTGGATGACCACTAGCCAAGATTTAGTATTCGATCATATCATATTTGACATGTTACGCATGAAGGTGTCAACTATATGATTTTATAAATATAATGCTTCATCGATTTTTTAATATTTTTTGTTGTTATATTTATGTTTGCAGTATTGAGTGTGAAGAAAATAATGCTAATCGTGATCATGGTAAATAAATTTATAAGAGTGTGATTATTAGTTATTAAACTAGTTACATGGCTAAAGAAAGAATCCATTACCCCCGTTCCTACAAAATTACAGAATTCTCTTGATGTGTATTGTTTTGGTGGTAAAAGATCCAATATTAAATTTTTATTGAGCAGTGCAAAAGTATTATATGAGTTGCATTTTTTTATAAATTAATCATAGCTTAGGTGGAAATTTAAAAATGAAAACAAAAATCATTTTCTCATTTTTAAAGGATCAAATTATAGCGACATTTACAGGCAATATAAGCAAACCATTACTAATTGGTATAACTTAATTCCTTCTTGGAAAGTATCAAAAATTAATTTGGATACATTTGAATTATCTTGTGTTGGTATATACACTAAGGATAGTTATGATGTTCATTTTAATTTTTTTTTGGTTGATTACCAAAAATTAATATTATTAACTGTTGGGGTGTTTTTATTTTTTTCTGCAAGTTCATTAAGCAGGTGATTACAATTATTTTTGACAAAAAATTATTATATTATAGAAATCTATTGTTTTATTATACTTTTGGAATTATATTTGGGATTCTTGCCTCCTTCCTTATAATTGTATATTTAATCAGTCGGCTGATACCACAAGTAAATTATATAGTTATAAATTTTTTAAATATTTTTTAAAGAGAAAAGGTGCCACCTATTTATTATTGGCTGGTGGATGGTCATTTTCATTATTTATACTACAGTATTTGTGGGAAAATATACAATTTATTATCCTGAGATACACAAATTATCTTATTGGATATATCATAATAGCTGGTTTTATTAGTTTTTTAATTTGCTATTATAAAGGCCCACCAAATAATCCAAAAACCTTAAGAATGATTCAATGGACCATCCAAGGAATATCACTATATTTGATATATCAAGCATCCAACAATTTTAAACAAACATCAATACTATTATCTACATTTATTATACTGACTCAAAAAATGTTAAGTCACCAATCTACAGACAAATGTTCAAAATATAACCCTATTGGAAGGTTAAAACATACCATTCACATTTATTGGTAAATTTTCATATGTTTTTTAATCACACATATAAACAAAATACCTAGAGGCTTGTCTTCTCCAGACAATGATAATACACTCCTACATCCCATATTCCCCTTCAATTTCAATGATAATTCCTCCCCCCCCCTCCCATGATAAAACCCTGTAGGCCTTTTAAATATATTTCCTTGATGATGGCTATATTAGGTATAATAGAAACTTATAATCAGAAAACTATTTTCTATTGAAAAAGAATCTTAATTAGGTTAAAATTATTTTATTTGAGGTGATAAGATCCCATAGTTTAAAATGCCCAGCTAAGGAAAATACACTTCATGGTATACATGTAGTGAATACAATTTTTCTAGATGAAAAGATCCAATTTTTCTAAATTATGACATCTCTCATGTGATAAAAATACTGAATAAAAGTGATAAAACAGATTACTTTGAATTTTGTAATGAATTGATGTTTAATAACTGATATATTATAATAATCTGGTTCTTAAGTTATCTATGATGCTATTTCAATCATTTTCATGAATTGAAAATTGGGGTCCAAAATTAATCATTTTTACCAGCCTTATAAGATATTATATTTCATACATTTTATATTACAGTTTATTTGTATTATATTATGAATTATATGATTGACGTTTGTAATATGATTCTTTATAATGTAACAAATAAAGTGACTGTGTTTTAGACTTAGATTCAATAGCGATGAAGGATTCTCATATTATGAATAAAGAAGAAAAATCAACTACTCTAATTGGTAAAAAGTGATGAATCAAACATTCTAATTAATAAGAGTGGTGAAATTAATATTTTAAGTGAAACAAACAATGGTAATTAAGTAAAAATAAATTTTGAAACAATAAATATAACTCAAGTAAAATTTGAAAATCTTGATAAACAAAATAATTTTCAAAACTATATTGAATATATTGATGATGTTTTGGAGATAAGTGGAACATTTATGGATTAGGAAACCAAGAAAAAAAATATTTGCATACAATGGGATTAGTAATTTGGTAGAGTTGAGGTCATTTATATATCCAAGCTTGTTTGGAATGGAAAAATTATTTGGTGATAAACGGAAACCAAAAATATCCAATAGTCGATTAACGCGCTGGGCATGAAAATGTCCGTATATGATTTTAAAATTGAATATCGTCCAGGAAAAGAAAACATAATGGCTGATACATTATCTAGACTTCCAGAAGAAGGTGCCGAATAACTTAAAAATTAGAGCTATAAATTTGCTCGATATAAATCTTTGTCAAGTTGAACTCTAGAATGAAACAAGGAAAGATAGATTGCTAAATAAAGAAATTAAAAACATGAAGCGAGGATGATGGTGTTTGATACGAAAAATGATTTAGAGTTAGTTTGTTTTACTAATCGCCAGGAGGAATTATCAGTAAATCGAGATATTGAATGGAATTCCAACCGTATTGAGGAAATCAATATTAACTATCATACATAGGGGCATCCAGGAATAAATGCTATGATATCAATTTTTAGGATATATTGTTGGTGGCCTAATTGCGATAAAAACATTGAACAACATATTCGTCAATGTATTCCAGTCAAAGTAACCGGTCGAATATAATGGAGGTTCCTTTATATTCTCGGAACATCTCTGATACACGATGGGAACACATTCATTTAGATTTCGCGGGACCTATCGATTCATATTCATGGATGGTTGGAGTTGATGCATATTCTAAATGGGTTGAGGTCGAGTTGATGAGAGAATACGGCCACAACAATGACAAGGTGCTAAGGAAATGGTTCGCACGTTTGGAACGCCATGATATATTGTGTTAGATAATGGCCATCAGTTTATTTCTGGAGAATTTCGAAGATTCTGTTTAGAGAAAAATATTAAATTAATACATTCAACACCTTACCATTCCAAAACGAATGTATTAGTTGAAAGAACAATACGAACAGAGTCGATATTTTGCCACTAGAAAAGACATTAAGGAGCCAGAGAAAGCTATGGGAAAAGTTTTGACAGTATACAGAATGGGCGAGCACCAATCAACCAGACATTCACCGGCAAAATTATTGGGGCGTAATCTAAAAACTGGATTAGATTGGTTACAATCCAAATGTTAAGGATGAGACGGAACGATTTAATATGCGACAAAAGACAGCACATGATGAACACTTAAATGAAGGAATTCGAGGTTACAACCTAATGAAATCAATTCAGATTAGAGAGAAGGAATATAAAATCCAGAACTGGTAGATATTCCTTCCTATTTGGTAGAAAGTAAGGATAGAACGATATGATATGCGGATCAACTGCGAAAACGGGATGTAGCTAAAGAAATGGAGATGTCAGGGAGAGAGTAAGAATATATGTCGGAAATAGTTAACAATTTGAAAATGTAGAATATAATACCTCGAGGGCTAATAACAACAATGAGGCAGAAATCACAACGATCGAGGAAGCCTACTACACATCGTTTGATTGAGGAGTTTTAAAATCCTAAGTGTAAAGAAATGTGATAAATGCAAGATATTATATTTCATACATTTTATATTATTTATTTGGATTATATTATCATGATTATCTTATATATGATTGACGTTTATAATGTGATTCCATATAATGCAACACAAGTGACTGTGTTTTAGACTTTAGTTCAGATAGCACCACGAATACTTTTATCTAAGATACAAGATTCTTTTGTATCTTGTACTCTATATCTTTTTTGACATTTTAAATAAAATACTTATAGTCTGTACCTAAGATACTTTATTTTCAAAGGATTTTTTTTCATTTTCTTGACAAAAGATAGTATTTTTTTAGATTTTTGTTTAAAATTTTAATATTTATTTTTACATTTTCCGTGGATTCTTGCATTAATTTTATTGCTTTTCTTTCCTATCTTTATATTTTAAATTAATATTCATTATTATTTATTTGGCATACCAACTTTACCGTGGTTTGCAAATTAAATAATTATAATTTATGATGATTTCTCCTCCATATTTATATATCACTGTCCAACATTTTGGATTACTATTTAGACACAGAATTGCAAATAGTAATATTTGGATAATTTCGATTTCTCAATTATATTTGTTTAATTTTTTTTATATAATGATGTCACTATTTTATTCTTTGAAATAACATGTGTTTGCTGGTGTTTATAAAAAATACAAACAATCGAAGTTCCTAAAATAAACCTTAGAATTTGATGTTATTTTTCAGCTGGTGGAAAAAATATTTCTATTTCTGTTGGTGGTTGGTTTATAAATCTCCATTTCCACTCTTATTGTTGCCACAAATAATTCCTTCGGGTGGGAAAGCGATGATATTAATTTTTTATGAACCGTGGGGTTATAAAAAAGTATATTTTTAATATAATATTTGTATCTGTATCTAAGATACATTATTATATGAATAGTAAATTTTATTATTCATACAAATAGTTAGTTATTTAATTCATATTAAACGAATCGAATAATTAATTATTTGATTTTGTTTCACCAGTAAATACTTATACTGTAATAAAATGGCTCTACAGAAAGCAGAGAATGTCTTCAAAACTGTATCTGGGTCAGATCGATGTTTTAAAAAATATCGGGTCAGCTCAATATTTTCAAAAATTGACCCTATTTGATATTTTGTTTTTGGTTATTTTATTTTTGTATATATCATATACTTTTATATACATAATTAATTTCATAATAAAAATTAATAGAACTTAATTTATTTATAATGTTTATAAAAAATCATTTAAAAGAAAGATATGATGGTAATTATTTACAATAAGAAAATGATTTTAAGATATCTAGTGGATATTCCGCCTCTATTGTTAAACGGCTCATTATAGTTAATTTAAGGAAAGGCTAGATAAAGAAATTAGCCAAAAATATATCTAAGCTAAGAGATTTTGCTAACAGATGGTAAAAAGTTTGGACATATATAAATTTCTAAGCAGAGATAATAATATTTGGGTAAAATCTTGATTTCGCCGATTTTTAAAAACGGCGAAATCAAGGCATTTAACAACAAAATTATTCGTGAAAGTTAGTTGGTTTTTTTTGAATAGAAAATTAATTTTATATGAAATTAGTTCAAGGATAGATTGTAAATAAAAATCAATATAAATATTGGATCGTTAAAATATTTGTTGATTGGCACAGCCCTACAAAAAATAGGTCTCTAATTGAACATATCAATATTTAATTATATTTTTTTAAACTTTACTAAAAAAATAAAATGATCATATAATATAAAGTAATTTTAATCACATTAATTCAAATTTATACACTTTTTATATAATATAAGGGGAAATATAAATAGTATTTTAAAATTATTAAATTGTATATAGTCTTAAAAAATTTCCTCCCAAAATTAAATTGTTAACCGAAGAAGAATATATTCAACAAGGTGAGTTAGAAACAGAAAAACATTTAAACGAATTAAAAAAGTATTGTCAAGGCCCAAACTGTACTCCATGGAAATTAGCCAAGATGCTTAAAAATCCTAAAAGGTATATTATATTAAACATTGCTTAAAAATCCTAAAAGGTATATTATATTAAACATTTTTTTTTCTTCAAATTTTATATGAAATTTTTAAAAAAAATAAAATAAGATTTGCGTCTTTCATTGAGGGAGACTCGTTGCATGTCAGTGAAGAAGAGGCGGCCGAATGGGATAACGATGCATTTTCTAACCGAGAATTTTCTTATTCGTCTATCGGTGACAATGATCAGGATAGTAAATTGGCAAAGAAACCTAGCGCCCCTCCTTTGCATCAATCCTCATCTTTTACCAACGATTACCGCTCCCCGGAATATCTAGATAAACATATTTATCCGCTAAATCTATCAAAACGCAACTCCAGAAATTTAAATTCGAATTTTACTCTTAAAAACGACATCAATTCCCCTTTGACAAATAGAAAAGTGCTAAGGATGGCTCGGTCCTGTAATGTCACTACCGGTCGAAATAATAACGCCGTAAATTTCAAAGATTACAGGGAAAGGAAAAAGGTTGGGGATTATTTAAGGGATATTGATTCTGAGCAGTCAACAGATGATGAGTCATTCCATTTAACCGAAGATGAGAATGACGATTTATTATATGTAGATACGTCGAAAACGATCACGTATCCTCCACTTCATAGAGTGAATAAATATTAGAGCGATTTCAAAGGCGTAATTCAGATCCGGCTAATGACCTTTAAATAAGGGGGGGGGGCGAAATCTCCACAATATAAACTCTCAATCCTCATAATTTGTTTGTTTTGTATTTATTTTATTTTTTGAATGTAATATTTTATAATGATTTTATTATTTTGTAAACCAATTCACTTATATTTATGTTTAAATTCATTTAATAAAATTTATTAAGTACCGGGATTGCAACGTTTCTGCAATTTAATTGTATTAATGACTTTTGATTAAATTTACGAGGCAAATTATTTTTTAAAAATTAAACCTAAAATTACTGAGGCCCGAAATTTATTAAATTAAACTGCAATGAGGGTTTCCCTTAAATTATTTTAAAATAATTCCTTTTTTATATTTAAATAAAGACGATGCATATTAAAAATATTATTATTTTTTATTACATTTATTAATAATTAATATATAAAAAAATTCGGTAATTAAATATAGTTTGTATACGAGATCATGCCTCTCTTTTGCTCTGTTAATACTATTCATGGTTCATAACCAAGTATTGGTTAATAGTGGGAATAATTGTGTTTTTTTAAAGATCAAACATTCATGTTTCTCTAAATTTTTCTTTTTGAAATTTGTCAACAATTTCTAAAACATCAATCCTGATTTCGAAAAATTCGTTCAACAAAGGTTCGGTCAGCAGGGATGCCAGGACTTGTTCATATGTAATTTTCCACATATTAGTTATTAAAAGTTTGTTGTTAGATTGAGAATTTAAGCAAGATTCGCCTATTTTTAGTAAAAGAGTGCCAACGGTGGCAGCGTAATGAATTAATTGAGTTTGATTAGGGCTACCTTCGAATAAATCAAATATCGTATTCCAAAAGTTGGAGAATGTTTCCTTTATTTTTATTATAATAATTTTAAATCCTTAAATAAAGTACCGTTTTTTTATAGTAAGCTTAATTTATAGAAAGTCGCGTTTATTCAACTTGGTATTCAAAATAACAGTAAGGCATACTAATTTAAAAAAAATGAATGAGAAAAAAATTGAAGAAAATAAAAACTTGATTCATAATAGCAGGATGTATCTTGGCAGGAGATATTGTATCTTGAGCTATGATGTTGCTTTCATCGTTAATTAACAGCTTTAGGTCTGGGGAGGAAATATTGGATGTTACATTTTGTGAACCACTGTGTTTGAGCAATTGATTATTTGAATTAGAAACATCTTTTTCGTACAATAGATCATTTAAGCGATTTATATTTTCTTTCAGTTCTTTAGCATTCTCATCTGGAGATTAAATAAAATTATTTAATTACTAATGAATAATGATAATAAAACAAAAATTTTACTATTGGACATTCAAACCCATTCCAGTTCAGAAATTAAAAATCGTTTTGTTCGAACATTTTGAGAACACAGGCCTAACAGGAATTGATTTGTGGACAAGTATTGAACGCGGGAGGGGGGATCAGAAAACCAGCCTGATATCAAAATTTTCCTGAATAGTTAAATTCTTGAACCCGAATCACTGATTTTAACATATAAAATGGTTAGCACTACCTAATATATTATGAATAGGGGGTTTCTTATTTTTTTAAAAAAAAATTTTTTTAAATGGAGGAAATAAATTAAAATATAGTTAACCATTAATAGGGGTGGTGATATCGGTATCCACTAGGTCCTCTTTAAAAAATTCATTAGCTTCAATGGCAGGCTCAGATAAGTCTTGAAATATTAAATATTTATTTTTTATTTAAAACTAATTTAGGGTACGTCTTAACTCAAAAAAATAATAAAAACTTTACGTTTTAACATCTGTCAAGTAGACACTTGAAATAATAGGTATAGTATACATTGTTTTATTTATCTTTTTGATAGTATTAAAAAACATTTATTCGAATCCAATTACTAAAAAGTTTTAAGAATTTCTGCCAAGTGGACACATGAAATAATAGGCATACATTTTATTTATCTTTTTTGATAGTATTTAAAAACATTCATTCGAATCTAATTACTATAAAGTTTTAAGAACTAATTACCATGAGGTACATATTTGTCAACTTGATTCCCAAACTTTTCCATATTTTTATCACTATCCGCTTTACCCATTGAAACGAAAAAGTGTGATGATGAAATCAAGAATTGGTTTTTCTTCTGCTCCGATTTTATTGTGTGATTGTTAATTTTCTTATACGCCCTTGTGTGATGGTAAGAGTCTTTAAATCTCGAAAACGGGGGTAAATGAAGTCTGTACAAAAATTCTAATTTGGTTTCCAGACCGCATCGGCATATTATCTTAAACATAGCGATGAATTGCTTGAAATTTATGAGGTGATCGCGGTTATCATCCAACAACTTTTCATATTATAATAAGGTAATAACAACTAATTAAAAAAGCACGACTTTGCAGGTATACTTAAAATACAGTTTTTCATAGTGCTGTAAAGTAACGGCCTTCCTATTTGGTAAAAAAAATTCCATTCGTTACTTTTTTGAGTAACATCCTATTTTTCAAAATAATGTAGAATATATTTAAAATTTTATTTATATAGATTTCAGATTATAGCGCTTTTCTTTATAAAATCTGAACATTTACTTGGTTTTCAGAGTAAAGTGTTACTTTTAAAAAAAGTTATTATAAACAAACTCGAAATATCTTTTTAGCCAAAGATGATGCCAGACATCCTTTACCCCATGGAGTGAGTTTTAAGAATAAATGCTCAAACGAATCGTAATCTATTTTGTAGAGTTCATAATTCGAAAGCGAGGAGTCATATTTTTCCCATGGATCAATGTAGAGTCCCCTAAAACATAAGCAGCTTAATCGTTCCTCCTAAGAAATTTTTTTTTAATATATTGATTAAATTAATTTTCTGATATTAAACATTAACTTTATTTCTATAAAATAATGCAATAAAAATGACATATATTGCACTATAAAGTACATTAAAGCTCAGGGGTACACCTTTCATGAAAGATGAAATTAAGGTACTAAATTTCAATCAACCACATAGATAGTGAATATCTAACCATTAACAACCCGTTATTTGATAACAAATTTTAAAAGCTAAGCTATCCAAGAAAGTAAAAATTTTTCAATAATTGGTTTTAAAAAAAGGATTTAATTTAATTTAATTTTTCCTATTTTGTGTAAAGTTTAGCGAAAAATGGATTATATTTTGTTCTATGAAAATAAAATAAATAAGTTTTTAATCGAAAAATAATAACAAGTACAAAACTAATTTCAATAAAATTTTAATATTCGATTCGTTAACATTTTTAAATTTGTAAAATTTTTGAAACTAAAAAAAATTATAGTTTAAGCATTGGACATGGCCTAAAAAATATTTTAGTTAAATTTGTTTAAAAAAATAAATTAAATTCTTGAAAATAATATCAAAAAAAAAATTCTACAAAGTTTAAAGGCAACCCAATAAGTATATAAAAAATTTAACGAGATTCGAAATCAAGTTTTCTATTTTTTGCTAAATTTTTTATAAATTAAGGAAATAAAATATGTAACAATAAAAAATAAGAACAATTTTTTTCATTTTCTTTTGCCATTTATTCAAAATTCCAGATGTTTTTTAATGAGTATCTATTGAATTTGAGACCCTTACTTAAATTATATACCGATCTCGTAGGGGCTTAGCAACTGTGGGCCTTTAACAAATCTCTAAAGCTTAAAGAATTTATAGTGCGCATTTTTTAATTTTGAAAGACATGATTTATGCCGTATTTATCCATGAATATCAGACAATTTTACCGTGAAATTTTGAACTACCCCTTTATTTATAATATAAATTTAAAAAAATTATTGTGAAATTGTTTGAAATTATAACAGGCTATGTACTATAAATTTACTTGGGAAAAAAATTCAGCAAAATATGGTCATTTAATATATATATATATAAAACGTGCTATGATGATTTAAATCTTTAAAATTTATATTGAGGATATACTTTAAATATCATAAAAAGAGCCTCGATTTCTTTCTTGTTAAAACATGGAATATCCTTTATTAAACTTCTAACGATCGTTTTAATATTGCCTTCATCGATACCCTTTTAAAAATAATATTATCTTATATAATGCAGGAATCTTTAAAGATATAGGTGTAATAACTAATTGCATTAGAGTACCATTTTTATAACTTATTTATAAGAAACTTAAAATAAAAAATATACTACAAATTCAGCCTTATTTCTGAAGGTCACTTTTCAATATCGCATTTTAAAAATAATTTATTTATAAATATTTATATATGGATAATAAATAAAATCCCATGTTAATTTAAGTAGAAATCCCGGGAAAATGTAAGAAATAAACCATATAATTTGCATATTAAAAATATCAGTAAAATTTAATAATACTAGATATCTTGGAAATGAAATCAGAACTTAAATAATTATCACAGAGATGTATTATTTTTATCAAATAGGTATTTGATTTTTTGATCTGTATTGAATTTTTGAATGTATTTTATCAAATCAAAAGCCCACATATGACAGATTTCCCACATTAGTAATTTTAAATCTTTTATTACAAAGTTTAGTTTTCTAATATGTAATACAAATCATCCAATATAAATTTTTCAAAAAATGGCCCTTTTAACTTTTTTTTTCTTGAGAGGATTTGAAAAGTTAATTCTGTTATAAAAAAATTTAAAAACAAGATAAATTTAGAATATTTTTTGTATCTACTACACATCTTTATTTATTTTTTTTTCTTTCTTCCGAAAAAAAATTAATTACTTGTACAACTGATAATCGATATTTCAAACGTAATTTTTCTATTTTGTCATTGGTAATATCCCCGAATTTAAAATAGGAGTCGTGTATAAGCTTAACAATATCTATTGTTTCCTAAAAAATTAAATACATAAAAAAATATATTAATTATTATTCATACCAAGGATAATCACACATTCTAAAATTATGCTTTATTTATGTCTCCTTACCATCTAAGGTTGATCCTAACTAGAGTTTTCTAGCAATTAAGGTATAAGCAATGTTATGTCCTAATTGGAGCGATTGGGCTATAAAATGAACGATTTTAATATTACCTTTTTAAGTTAGTCACTCTAAAACGAGATATTTTAAATATTAGTTTAAAAATGCTTCACTCGATAATTTATATCATATCCAACGGCAACGCTTAATAAATGAGCGATTTTGAAATTTAACATAAAAACGCCCAATCGGTAATAAATATAACCCAGTTTGGCCGCGGCCTAAGAACAAATGTTTTAATTAATTGTAAAAGTAGATTATGATATTGAACACTCGTTTAAAAAATATATAAATTTATTTTACCTGCACAGGCCTCTTATGTTTTAGCGATTTTGACTTGAGGCCACCAGTTGAAGAGATATGGAAATTCTCGTTTTGTGGTCCATTATTAACAATGCCGTCTAAGTATTGAGTCAAAATAAGCATAGCTTCCCCGTCGTCTTTACACTTCAAGATGTTTTCTTTATTGACTTCGAAAATGGTGAGGGAGAGCTGTGGTATAAACATAAGTTAAATTTATAATATGCTCCTGAAAGTAAAGTATCATTTTAATTTCTTTCGAAAATATGTAATACTTACAAATTTATATATTGTAATAGCTGTTCAAATTTATTATAAAAATAATAAACAAATTCTAATTAAATAACACCGATGCTAATTAATGAAGAGTCCTGTTGCTTAGATCTATGATGGATCCCTATCACAATATGGTGAAAGGGGTGGGTGAGTGGGCCTCAGTGAAAATTTACCAGTATAACTCCCAGGGATCTTAATGGTACAATCCGGAGTTTTGCCCGGGCTAAAAGTTGGGGGGGGGGGGAAGGAGGAAACTTTTGAATAATATTTTTACGAGCCGGTCTTAGAAACCTTTTCGAAAATCTTAACGGGCCAGTTCGCTCCGATCTTTAAAACTTTAAGTATTTCAAGCCAATTTTTTTACTGAGTGACAACCAAAAATGGTGTTAATATCTACTAAAATTTAGGTTAATTTATCAAATGTAGCTAGGAAGCTAGAGTCTATTAATTGGGTCCGCCCCCCCCCCCCCCCCATTTAAAAAAAATTGAGTTCGTGCGAGTTCAGGATAAAAATTCCAAAAAACAAAATTGAAAATGTTGTATAACTTCTTTTAAACTTAAAATGATAAATTAGAATTTTTCGGGGATAAAGACAAAGTAATGAGTGATTTTTATTATATTATTCTAGAGAGAAATGTGTTTAAAATATATTTTTAAATCAAAAATTTCGGGGTGATCTGGGCCGGGTTTAAAATTCTATAAATATTTAGGGCGAGCTTGGGTCATAAATACGAATTTTGAACTGGCGACGCCCTATGTTAAATTGTAATATAATAAACTTGGAACAAAAATTTGGCGCCACTGTAGAAAAAGCAATCCAAAACGTTGAGTGCCGATTTGAAATTGAGAACGCTAAGGAAAACGGTCAAGAACCATGACAAGGTAATCATACGCGAAAGGCCGAAGGATTGAAGTTTGCCTTGTAAATCGGGTAGGTAATCTTTTAGCAATTGATCGAATACACCCTGATCCACCAAAGCTCCTAGCACCTATTATGATATTCGATTTGTTATACAAATTAGAACCCCTTGATATGTGGGGAGAGGGAAACTATGCTAATATTTTAAAAAATTCCCTGCAAAATAAAAAATATATATCCATACATATATTGGTTTGACATGTATTTTGGAAATTTTTAATGTCGAATAAAATGTAAAATTTCTACTATTGAAAATCAAAACATTACGACATGGATAATCTCTTGTAAGACTTCGATGAATTTTAAAGCATTTTCTATACAATGTTTCAATAAATATAATTCCAGAAAAAGTTCTCGAGAATATTCCCTAAATTTCCGACTCTTGCATAAATTATAAATACCTATTAGATGAACAATTTGTACCTAAATTTTAATCTCTAGTAATATTACATATAATTTTTTTATTTAAAATCAAATATAATAAATATTGATTCAGTTCAAATGAATTTATTTTTAAATTTAAAATATGAATAAGCAAAGGAAATAATTTTTTGATGATAACTTAAGATGAACCTGGGCAGTACAACAATCTAGAAACGAATTAACCAAGGTTTATATTTTAAATTGAAACCGGATATTCCATATTTTAAGCATTTATCTATACGTCAAATGGCAGCAGAAATATAGATAAGGAAGATTAGGTTAGGAGAAGAAACATTATAATGCAATGTTACTTACAAAATTAAACAAAATATTATATTTATTATATAATATAATATATAACAGATACTTTGGTATTGTAGTATTCAGGAAGAAGTCGTTCGCAGATTGCAACCAAAATCCAAAAAGCTAATTCTTCATTTTGAGGTGTAAATATTATTAAAACTGAGGTAATAATATTCATAGCTTGGCAATATCCTATAGCCGGATTTCGCCATGCGTAACTAGTTAATATTCTTCTTAAGGAATCGATACCAGAGTCGGTTTGGAATGTTGGATGTTCCGGCAGAGATCTAAATAAAAAAAAACTTTAAAAAATAGTAGAATTGCAAGTATTGGACTTTTTTTAAAATTAGCCCAGCTTGAGAAATTTTTTATATTTGTTGTTAGCATAGACATCTTACCGAATATTAAAATTCAATCCGGCCCGAACTATTATTCTTATATGCACCAACTTTACATTTCAAGTGAAGTTGAAACATCAACTCCAGAAAAAAAATTAATATTTTTTTCCTGGAAATAATAATTTATAAAAAAGTATTAGAAACAAAATAATCTAAATTTTTTGCAGAGATCTGGGTCCGAATTGTATATAATATTTGTTAAATCACAGCTCAGTATGACTAAGTCTAAAGCCAGAAGACTTCAATTAGACCGATCTATGCAGATACATGGCTCTAGAGTATGCCAACTTAAATTTTTGAATTCTGATCTTATATCATGTTTATTTTTAAAACAAATGATTGCATTACAGAATTCAAGGTTGAAATAAAATTTTGGAGAGATGGCTAATTATATTTTAAAATATTTTATGTAATGGTAAATATGAATTGATTAGGACGAAACCAACTAAAATTGATTAAGGCGCTAACTATAGATATTATATCCTTATAAAATGTGGATTAGTAAATATTATTTTAATGTTTATTTTTTATTTATATTTATTTTCTTTAAGTTTTTGGACGAGATATTATTTGCAAAAATATTTTTCATTTCAAAGAGTGGACCGAGAATCGTAAGATCTGACACTGACTATTAGGTGTTCTCCTTTCGATGTTTTAACTTAATCAAAACATGTTATAATAATATAAATACATTAAAAATGTTAGAGTATAATAATTAAAAAAAAAAATTATATTTACAAATGAATTACCGATGTAGATCTCTTTCTATCTCATCCGTTACCAAATTAATCTTCCCTGCGTTCGAAGCGATTAAATTTGTGTAATAACCAGGGTTATTGTCCATCTTTTTTATATTTTATTAGCAAATAATGATAAGATATATATGGTATTGTATACATTGAAATAAATAATTTGTAAATATATTATTTTTATAAATTCAGGCCAACAATTATTTATTTTCCCAGCTCTGATTAAATAAATTGTTAAATTATAATAGAAGCGTTTAAAACATTTATTTAGACAGTTTCAAAAGTTCAGCGATTAAATTAAATTCATCATTTTAAAAACCTCATTTTGAGCGCCCGCGAAGAGTGCCCACATCTCTCCTCTAAGAATGTCGGGAACGCCTTTCGTTATAAGTTCGTGCAATTCGTGCGTGCGGTACATGCTAACCCCCCGCCCGTGATCTGCAAAATGCAAGGCCCAAAGCCTTTCCTTCAGAGCTTCCTCGATTCCAAAAATTGAGTTTGTATTGTTCGTTATTATTAAGAATTTATCTGAATATATGCATGGAAAATATTTATAGCAGAGAGAGTGAACCCTACAACGAAGGGGGGGGGGGTCCGCTCGAATACGTGATTCCGTTAATACATATTAAATTAAATAATAAGTGTGTGGGGAGGGGGGCGTCTTATTACTATATTTTAATAAATTTTGGTCGATGTTTAACAAATTAGGTTGTTATTAGAAATCTCTTGTCATAAAATTATTTTTCCAAATTCAAAATATGCCCCCAAAATACAAATGATTAATTAATAATTGCACATGGAATAATATAAGAGATGATAAATGGACAAACCACATTAGAAAAAGACATGGTGGGGTTTTAACGATATAAATAAAAACTTGAATATTTCTCAATGGACGAATAGCAACGTAATTTTTTTTATTAAATATTTAATTGTTTATACTTATCTTATCGTATCAAGTCAATTCAGAGATGTCGTTTACCGTGAAGAAATTTTATAGCACAGGTAATATCGCGAAGCCATTATCACGAATTTATTTCCGCAAAACCTTAACCGCGAATTCATTAGAGCGAATATATTTTAGCGAAACTTTTATCGCGAACATAGTGTTTATGTGCGAAGTCATTATCGCGAAACAATAAATATATTGCGAATGCATTTATTTAAAGGAAAACAACATATTGAATATTAATTTACTCACAAAAGTTCCTTAAATCATAAATGCGAAATGTTTTATGGATCCTTTGTTACCTATTGTCTATTAAATAAGCATGTAACCTTTATCTGATATGATAAAAAATAAACCATATCTTTCTGGGTTCTTCTCACGCATGGTTGTAAGTATGGAGAGGATAGGTTAAGGTTTTTACCCCAATAAATTCACCCCCCCCCCTTTCCAACATAAATTTTTAAAATGTGCTTTATGTCATTAAAAGTAACTATGCACAAATATTTTGAAATTTTTCCAATCAAGGTAAAAATAGTAAAAGCTAAGAATTTTTGTTGATTTTCTCAGATTATTTTTAAAAATCATCGAAGATTTTGCTAAGTAATTTTTTCAAAAGACAAAAAATAATGATTAATTTGAAAACCCAAGAAAACATGTTTATATTATATACTTAAATAAAATAAATATTTCTGAACAATATATTATATTTTCTAAGAAATTCAATTCTGAGAAAATTAAAATTTTTACTTAGCCAAATCATCTTTTGCTGAGTAATTTAAGGAAAAAATAATAAATGCTGTAGCACTAACCTAAGTTAAACATTACATATCAGCTTAACCTGTAGAATTAATGTATGAAAAGTTTGGCAAACTATTTAAGGCTATGTCTCAATATTAATTTCAGATTCCTATTAAATTTTGAACTAATATTTTAAAGAAAAGATAAAAAAATATCTATAAAGATCGTAAAATCATAAGATTCAAAATATTTTGAATTAAAGAAATCCCTTATTTCACTTAGATATAATTTATTTTTGAATCACCATTAAAAATTCGATGAAGGTAGTCAAATAGCTTATAACTCTTGATTAGTGACTGGCAAAACTGATTGATGAATTCACATATTAAGTTCCTCAGACAATAAATATTGGCGCAAACCAGATATCCATTTCGCCAATAATGAAGGTGGTTTAGCTAATGAACTCAATGATTAATATAATAATAAAGCCTGAGTTCCTTTTACGCGTTTTATAAAATAAAACTTCGAAGAAAAAATATTTTATTCCAATAAATTTTATAAGTTTATTAGGGCTAAAAGAAAATTAAAAACTCTATCATTGAATCAATCTTGTATCTAATTTTTAAAAATATTATTCAATTAATATGATCATAAAATGTTTCAAAAATAGTAATTATTAGCAAAATTAGTATAGTTAATCGACTAAATTTAGTAAAAATTAGACTAAAAACTCGAGACATAATTAGTCGATTAGTTGACAAAGTTGATCCATTTCGTAGATTAAATTGAATTCTTGAGTCTATCACTGAATTGTCGGGTAAAAATATAAGTTGTAAATATATTAAATTGAGATTTCAATGAAGGTGAGCCATAAAAAGTAACAATTATCATATAATCTTTATTTTTTAAATTTTTTTGACGCAAATGGATAAATAAATTATAAACATGTTAAATTGAGATTTTAGGGAAGATGAACCATAGAAAAGTGATAATTGTCATAAAGGTTATTTTTAAACGTTTTTAAAAAATATAAACTTTAAACATGTTAAATTGAGATTCTCGTGAAAGATCAACCATAGAAAGGTGACAATCATAATCGTTATCTTTAATTTTTTTGATGCAAATGTATAAAAACATGTATCATATACATGTTAATAAGATTTTAGTGAAGATGTACCAGAGAAAAAGTGACAATTGTCAAAATCGTTACTTTTAAACTTTTGAATTTTTTTGAAGGAAATGAGTAAAAATATAAAGTGTAAACTTGTTAAATTAAAATTTAATGAAGATTACCATATTAAAGTGACAATTGTTAGAATCGTTATTTTTAAGCTTTATTGAATTTTTTTGCTGAAACGAGTGAAATTTTGCTCACTCTTGCCATCTAAGGGGCGGAAGAAACAATTTTATAAAAGGGACAAGTGTGCGGGTTAAATAATTTTTAAACTCTTCACATATTAAATAAGTTATAAACAGCAAAATAAATTTTAATAAAAATATAATTTGTCGATTTATAAATCAAGACAAATTTAATGGACTTTAAATTTAAGTCTGAAATAGCCTGTTTAAAGATCATTAACATGTGAGTAGCCAGCAAGGAGAGAAATCCCCCACCCCCCCCCCCCCCCCACCGTAGCAATAATTTTTCAAAAAATATAAAAGATTTTTATGTTAATTGCAAAGTAATCTATTTCAAATAAGATTATATTAGCAGAAAGTTAAAATTAATTTAAATATTTTTTCTTTATTAAATTTTCTCTCACAAAAGTTTTAAGTTTATTTTCTTACAATTTTTTTAAAACCTTAAACGCTGATGATATAAAATAAAAAAATTTATCAATAAAAAAAAAATCATTTAATTTATCTCTATTAATAACTATGATTATGTAAATTTTTAGAATGTATGAAATATTTATATATCTAAATAGACAGAATGATAAATAAAATTATTTCTAAGGTGCTACAGGAAGAAATACATTGCAAAAAACATGCCCGACAAGATGTAACCTTCGACATCAGCTTTAACAAGCTTTTTTGGATCTAATTAGCCTATTATGGGTGCTCTTAGAGAAATATCAGAATTAGCTTAACCGAAAATTTCATCTGAAAGATATATTATTAGATTCAATACCTAGACATCAATTCGAAATTATAAACCAATCTAAATTTTATCATGTATAAAAAATAGTGACAATATTTTTTTAGTAATTTAATATCTTGAAATCAAATTTTAATTAATTCAGAAGCCCAGTGGAGGCTTTGGCGGGGCACTTATTAGCCATTTTAAAGCAGGGTTTATTTTGAATAAAAACCAACTATTATAAAAATAATAGAAGCCACTGGATTGTCTAGGGGTGCGAATAATAATAGATGATTGACTTATTTTTTGTAAATTATATGACAGTTTTAAGTGGCATGTTCTTCCGGGTGATATATATAATTATAGATGAACCTGGTAAATTGACAATTTATTTTCATTTATTTACTTCTTGAGTTTTATAATTTTTTGAAAGATGCGCTATGACACACCACAATTCCTAAGGAAAATAGGTACCCCGGGCGTTTTTTTATTTTTTATATTTATAAATAAAAAACTAAAATTATTTTTTTCTTAAATATTAATACCCTATAGAATTTGCTAATCTATTTTTTATAGCACCTAAATTTTTAATGGACAATATAACCCCGGCCTCCCCTAATCATCTTTTTACAAAATAATTTCATTTATTAAAATATATTTATTTTTTTAAATAACAAATTATAATATTTTATAAAAAATTTGTCAGGTAATTTCGACATATCATAGTTATTGAAATTAGAATCGTTTAGATAATGATATATGAACAAAGATTTCCGAAAGTACACTTTCACTTGACTTGAAGTATCTCTCTTTAATGCGAAAAAGTTTTTTGATAGATCTTTTACCATTGTTTAATTTTATAAATTGTTTCATATTAATATTTAATTCCATCACATCTTTTATGGTTTTATAGTACCATAATGATTTGTATTTCTTATATTGTTTCCCTTTATATGTATACAGCCATGCTATGGCGTCATGTACTAGATTATGATTAGAGATCCTTATTGTGATAGGCATGCTTACTTTAAATTTATGTGTATTGTTTTTCTTTATTATTACCAATATTTTTTTAATCGATATTATTTGTTTTTTTTATCAATATTATTTCTTTTAATTGATATTATTTGTTTTTTTTATCAATATTATAATTTTGTCAATATTATTTCTTTTAATCGATATTATTTGTTTTTTATCAATATTATTTTTTTTATTATTTATGTGGGTTATAAAAACCCTGAAAAAGAAGAAATTATAACACATTATTATTCTTTTTTTCTTCTTTTAAAAAAAAATTGTTATATATAGTATTAGGAAATAAAAAATTGTTATATTTAATATATAGTAATAGGAAACTTATTATGGCCAGGAACTGAATCAGGCGTTTTTTTAAAGTAATGCTTATCGGCATGTGATTAGACTTCTTCCAAAGATTTGAGTTTGAGATAACTTTTGGGTAAAAAATACCATTTATCGTTCGTAGGCAATTATTTATAAATTATTGGAGTCGTCTCATCTGTCTTATTTGTTTCCCAAATATCGCTTCCACATAATAAGATATGAATTATCGTCGAGTTAAATAACCTCGATCAGCTAAATACCGATATTTCCCTTGATTTCCATATTTTCATATACATATAAAAAACGCCTTTAGCTTTTTGTATTCTAATCTTCATTTCTTCTTTACATTCGCCTTTTTTATTTAGAGTGACCCCCAAATATTTAATTTTGTCGACCCTACTATAAGATTATGGAGTGGAG